TCCTCATGCTTACTTCAAGCTGGTGCATATCGTCGTGTGCCCGGAAGAAGGTCATCAACCTTTTGCTGTCTCTGGAACTCCTAATTTCCTGATAATGGTCACTACAGTGTATAATACATACACTCAATGCATATTCTTGATGCACATAATGGTTTGTACCTGTCCATTGTTATCCTTGATAATGTTGACAATAGTTGCGTTGTTCCATGTGCTACCTTTTTTAGCAAGAACTCTGGTGCCTTGGGTCAGCTTAACTGAACTATATGTATCAACAAAAACATTTGTATCAAAACTGGTCAGAATCAACCGAACTACTTTCATTCTATTTTGCTTAAACTAGCACTGAATACAATTCAGGTTAAAAACAATACTATGTGGCAGCTCAGTATTTCTATTAAATGTAATTCAATTCAATGAATGAATTTACGAGCTTGGCTTTATAGGAAAAGTAGATATTGTGCAAAAATAACAAACAAAAAGATTGCCCATGGACCAAACAGTTCTAGGGTGAATTAAACAGCACTACAGATCAGAACATGATCTGGCTTGGCTTGAAATCCAGGTCAAAAGTGAAACTGAGTTGCCTTAACCACATGCTGCTGGGTACTTTTAAAAAAGCAGTGCACTCATACGGGTGATTTTCAAGACTTTCAGTTTTCAAAATTCTTCAAAAATTCATCATTTCATTTAACATATGTTTACACCCACACGAATGACTCTTTGGTAGCTATTCTAAACTGACAGGTAACCTTCACTGACTCCTGAATATTTCAGCCAGGCCTGCCGCCCTGTAAAGAGAGCCCAGAATTGTAAGGTGTTGCGTAATTTCCTTTGTCTCCAGTCCATGGGGCCTAGAGCACTTTTGTCTGCGGTGCTAATCCGCGGGCAACCCATGTCTGAAACAGTGGTATACTGTTTAAAAACAGTGACAGATTACCTTTGAAAAATGCAAGTTGAAAAATGATGGCAACTCCCAGCAGCAGGTCTTTTGTTCCGAGTACAGCCTTTTGTTACACACAGCAGCTCTTTTGTCCCATTTTGGGCACCCCAGCTCTGCGTATAAATCCATGTTGCTCGAAACGGGGTTCCCCGGCAGCAAGTGGTTGATGTTAATTACAAAGAGATATCAGTCAATATATAGATACCTATCTTGTATGTGGTAGCTAGGATTCTTCTGAATACATTCTATCACATCATCTTGGTCATCTTCCATGGGAGTAATGTCATCTCCATCACACAAATCAATTACATCAACTTCATCATGAGGCTTTGAAGTGCTCGCTTTCACATTCCTCAGTGCTTTGCTGCCTGGCTCAGGAAGGCTTGGTCCTGCTGAATATAATTCAATTCAATTTCAATTTCAGTTCAACAACATTTATTTCTGTAATGCCACGTATAGAATAGGACAAAAATACAGTACAAGAAGAATACTATGACAACAAAATAAATTCAAGGAGTAAAGATGTGAAAAAATAAAGCATAATAGAGCATATATAATGACCCAACTGTCATAAAAATGTTGAAAGATCATCAAAGATAGTTACAAAATTAACATACCCATGTTTACTGTACATGTACTTCCTATTCTGACAATTATTTGAAATGAGATAAAAAAAGATAAATAATTGATAGTAAATTCCATATCCATGGACCGATTCTTTGATTTATATGATCTTTTTTGCAATCGCTGAAAATCCAAGCAAATAAAAGTTACTGGGTAAATAAGGACGTCTTGCACTGCTACACAGATTTTTCATTTTTGAAGTGAAGCCTTGAAAGAAGTCCTTTTTGAACACTTTCTCTGACGTCTAAAAGGTGATATTGATCTTTAAATGATCATACCTTTGCCTTTTCAGGTGGCCAGTATGTACATACATTTATGCATACCTATTTGTAATGTACAACCTTGCTTTGTAAAACGTGTTTCCCAATTTGTCAGCAAATTCAGTGAAGTGCACTCGTGTTCAAACGATTCCCATTGTGTTCATGCTTCAGCCTTCAACTTTACATGTCAACATTAAACTGTGTGCATGTACTACTAGAAAATAGTCAAGCTGCATCTACATGTAGCAGCCTCAGATCTCGAGCGTCTTCTGTAAAATTCTGGCAGTCCCAAGGAAACCTGCCATCTACGACAATATCATCTCGGCAGTCGTGGTAATCTTGTAAAGATGTTTCTCCAAAGACCTGGGAATGATATTCAGACTGCCCTCACAACAACTGGAAATGACCTTCTCCTTGACTTCCACAGCTTACAAGGTTCCTTCATCTTTCTGTTCCAAAATCCTGGTACTTCAAGACCTCCTTTGCCTTGCTTGTTATCCTTTTATCACTGGGCACAGCAACATAATGTGACACAACTCCACTTCCTTAAGCAGAACATCCAACTGCCTCTGTTAGATAACATGGTCCAGTTGAATGTTGAAGTCCCAGAGACCCGTTACCTCTTCCATTTCCAGAACCTTCTCCCATGATTTGTCCTTGATACCTCATTTACAACACACATCCCAGTGGATGTGCCTTGGTTCAATTGTTATGCCTGCCAGTGTCAGTCTGAGCCATCTTGCTACATTTGCAAAGTGAAGCACAGTGCCCTCTCTCTAAAACTCCCAGTAAATTCAAACACTCCAAAATCAATGAATGCAGTGCCATATTCCACTCCCACATTAAGTGTGGGTCTGGTTTCCTAGTGATATTCATCTTTGCCCAGCCTACAGCCCAGCAGATTTCCCATATGCCTATTATAATTCGCTGAAAAGACTTGATTATGCATACTGCCCCTTGACCCTCCACAATGCCGCCACGTTCGTCCTTTTCGAAGCGGTGAAAGCTATCAGAGCTAAAGTGGGGAAAGATGGGTGGGAGCAGCTGGGCAGGGGTAAGTATCACTAGGAGACCCGACCCACACTTAATGTGGGAGAGGAGTCTCCTGCGCTCATATACCCCCGCCCAGCTTACATATGCAGAGTAGCACCGTATCCTGGAGGTGGGTCAGTGACAAGAGTGTAATGACTACAACAGACATAGGGTGGGTGTCGCAAGAGTGGGCACTCATCACGAGAAACTCCCTGGTCGAATTATCCACTGCCTGGCCCAGAACAGCGCTGGATGTTGTCTGGGCCGCTGAGCGCAGGGTTGTTCTGCCATGGGCCGTTTCGCTCCATAGAACATCTTTCAGGTACATGTAGCAATTGGTGAAGGTAGATTTCCAACAAGCTGCCTGGCAGATTTCAGCTGGACGAACTCCTCTGAAGTACTGTACGACCAGGACACAGAGGAGGCACAAACATCATGGGCTCTGATGTTAGTCCGGGCCATCTGATCATGCTGTATGCCAGCCAGTTTCAGTTAACGGAGATGATGGCTGAGACCGTCCATTGGGTGGGGCAATAGTGTCCTTTGACAGTCGGTGAAGGGTTTTGTTGTGGTGATGAAAAGCTGGGAATCAGATTCCTGGTGAAGCTTGGTCCTCGCAAGATACCACTTGAGAGTCCGAACGAACCGGATGCCATCTCTTGCCAGAGTCATCTCCCGAAAGCGAGGTTATATTGGGAACGAATATGTTGAGAGGCCGGAAGGTAGGCTTCTGGTTTTTAGTCAGGAACAGGATAGTTGAGATGAGACAAACCCCATGCGGCTCCCAGCGGATGTGATCCTCGGCAATTTAAAGGGCATCCAGCTCGCTACCTCGTCTCAATGTAACAACTGCGAGGAAGAATGCCAGCTTGATGCTGAGATGGAGGTGAGATGCATCCACCAGCAGTTCAAAGGGGGGACTTGCGAGAATGCGTAGAACCCTTCCGAGGTCCCAGGATAAGATGAGGCGTTTGACCAGGGGATGCTCGACAAACATCCCTCAAAGAAGATGGTGGATCGCAGTGTTGTCGGAGACAGTTGATCCACAGCTGAAGCTCAAGTGGACAGCTGCCATTGGGAATTGCATTGGGAATTAATTTCATTCTACATTCCAAAAAAGGATACTGAACTGAATGGCGTGATCCCCTGTCACAGATAGAGGGGAGCCTATCCGGAGATCATGGTTGATAGTTGTGTGCCTGAGTGCCCCGATGACAAACTTTAAGATGTCAGAGGGCTCGATGAGGCATTGGGTCTGTCTACTGCAGACATTAATGAACAAAATAAAAACTGGCGGTTAGAATAAAACGGCTGATTGTAATGCATTTCATTCGCAGGGATAGCTCTAGAGAATGATAGACAGATTTTATGTATAGCAGATTTTTCTGTTCCCCTCTGTCTAACTGGCTTCCAGCACCTGAGTCTTAAGTGCTAGCCGGCGGTCTGATACGTAGTGCAGTGAACTGGACTCGCATTCACTAGGGGCCGTTCCAAGCAAATGATATATCAAAAGGTGGCCCAATAGAGTGTACATGGAACTTCTGCACACCCGGAGGCCCAAAAAAGTGGACAGATCAAGGCACAGGCATAGGCCTGAACAGGAAACGTCACCAGTTGTACCTGATACAGAAAAGGAGACGCCCCCAAGTGTAGTATGTTCACAGGTTGGAGCTAGATGTGAGCTTTAAGTAGAACCTAGATAAGTTGAAGAATTATCATTGTTTTTATTGAATGAATTTATTGAGCACAAATTCAATCCAAAAATTAGAATGAATAGGTGTTCATGTAGTGGACAGACTGACGGAGCCGGATGTGAAGCCGGAAGTGACACTGAACACTGGAAGTGGAGCTCCGAGTGTGGCTTTGGATGGAGATCCTCAAGCAGGGGATTCGGGTCTGGAATAGTCGCTGGGGAAACGGAGATTGACTTAAGGTGGCTGACTATAGTGGACAGCGTCTCCGAGAGATTGGATCGCCATCATCAAACCAGATGAAGCAATATCTTACTTTAGAGCGAGATTTCTTGCATTTGGACCCGCAGAAGACGATGAGTGTTTACACTTCTTATGTGTGGGTGATCTGGATGTAGAAGCCGTAGGAAGAACCTAGAAACCTGGGGCGTCAGCATCATGTCCGGAAAGTGGGTTGTGATCGACTGAAGCGAGCTGAACTGCTAGGGAGCTGTGACGGAGGCACCCTGGTAGGATAGCCCTAGCTAGAAGCCGTGGTGATTAATGTCATTTGAAAACCATGGCGATACAGCAGGTCGAAGGGTTCTGTAGCCAGAAATGCGCGTGGTGAAGAGCCCGCATAGTTCGGAGGTGCCTCTGAATGAGCCGCCCCTGGGGACAATGGGGCATCGGCCCGAGGCATTGTAACATCCAAGACACGTCTGAGTGAACCACGGTGGAGTTCATCTGATGACTGTAGTTCATGGTGTGTGGCAGTCGTGTAGCTGGCCTGGGAGGCATAAAGCCATACCAGTGTGTAGCCTAGTGAACCATACCGATGAACAGACATTTTCCATGGTAGGCACTGGTAGTAGGGAGACTGCCAGAAGACTTCAGAGCACTGGAACTGGGGGTGAATGTCAGCCACCCGGGTACAGCTGACGGGGGAGTAGGCTTACTCGCGCCAAGTGCAGTGTCACTTAGCACTAACGTTGACGGCAACGCGATATGATGGTGACAGGAGGATCTAAGTGTTAGCCCAGTGCCTGAAGTGTGACAGGACTAACCATAATTGAACAGGGACAAGTCCTGCCAGTGCAACGTGAGGCTGTGCGTCATGCTGTGGTGTAGACTCCCCCGTGGTGGAAGGAGTGGAGAGCGGTGAACCCGCTGGGGAGCCCATTGCCCGCTTAGTACTACATGTACTATATGACGCTACTCAAACTCTGATGTGAGGTGTTGCGGCCAAAGTTAAATGAATGTTGCGATAAGCTTCAGCGACCTAATCGTGTTTGACCTCAGCGATGTAGGTGCGGCAAACACCGCCTCCTTGGCGAAAGGGTTGCCCGCTTGGAGGGGTAGACTGGCCCAACTTCCGAGCGGACAAAGCACGGCGAGCAGAAGCAGGTAAGGGACCCAGGGCAAGCGGCAGGTCAGCACCTTGCAAGTCCCGCTGGGCCACTGGTAAGCAGGGTTGCTCGGAGATGTGGAAGGTACATGTACCAACGCCTAGCATCTGCAGCATAAAAAAAGACGAACAGCCCATTAAGCTCTGGTCAACAGTGATCAAGGGTAGTGTTGCAGCATGGTGAACTCAACCCAATCCACAGACATACAGAGTGGACGCCAGTGATTAAGGGTAATGTTGCGGCACAGCACGCTCAACCCGATCAGAAAGCATACGAAGTAGCTGTCAGTGATCAAAGGAAGTTTTGTGGTAGTAACACGCTCAACCTGATCAATTCAAGCAGTGGTCATCAGTGATCATGAGTAGTGTTGTGGAACAGCATGCTCAACCCGATCAGTACATGTACACATGTAGGTATATGGAATAGTCATCAGTGATCAAGGGTAGAGTTGCAGCATAGCACACTCAACCCAATCAATCCCAGCAGTGGTCGTCAGTGACCAAGGGTAGTGTTGCAGCATAGCATGCTCAACATGATCAATGTGGGTAAAGGTCTGGGGAAGTGCTGCGGCATGGCAAGCTCAACCCCAGCCTAACTATTCCACTGGGTCTTTCCCCAACACGGCCTTTAGTCTCAAATGCAAACTGCACCACAATGGGGTGGCCCCGCTCTGCAGCAAGACCCATCCAGCAGAACACAGTGGACCATTACTGTTAAAACGCACGCACCACATTGAGAACAAAGGGCTGTTCAACAGCCATACACACCACACAATACAATGGTAGGTCACACCCAAACTTGTAGAAAATGCACAGAAAAAGGGGTAGAAAAAACCCAAAAACATACAAAATGCAAAAATAAGCACTCTTACCGATAGATAAGAAATCACTCTTTACTCACAATCAAGAATCAAGTCAATTCACAAACGTGAAGGCTTACGAAACTCGGAAAATGCCATAAAGACAAGTCCGTAAACGGTAGTCTGTTAAACTTATTACAATAGGCACATCGGAAATTTGCTTATGTAGGCTGGGCAGGTGTATGTGACCACAGGAGACTGTATGTTTTCTTGTAGTCAATTCACACCATCAACAACTTGGCTTTCTTCAGCAACAAAGCTGTGGATAACAAGTTGATACTTGATTCCTCTTTAAAATAAACGTTTCTTGCATACCTTCTACTCATCTGAAAAAAGTATTCTCCTCAAAGTGACAGCAAAGATCCTCAGCTACTGTATCAGACCAGTCAAGAAGTTGTTAGCAACAGGAAGACAAGTAATAGGTCTGCAAATATTTGTGACGCTTCACTACTTGACACTTTTCATAAGCAAAAAGTCCTCCCCTCAGTCATCTGCCTTGGAAGACACTTTATGCATGAGACACCACTGAAATTTTTCAGTTAGTACCCATATACACGTACATGATCAACTCCAGAGGCGTTCCATTTTGACACTTTCCTTCACTGCCTTTCGATTTTTTTCAACTGATTTTTACCTTCTCCTACCAAGCAGGAACACCCCTCAGTTCTCAGGTTATTTTACTTCCTGTAGCCACTCTGCCTGACTGCTGTGCCACACTGGCTTCTACTTCATTCTGCCCAAAAAAAGCATTTGCCTCAACCACCCTTGGAACTTCCCAAGTATCAAGAGCCTTAACCCTTCAGTTCCTTACATAGCTGTCTTTGGTTCAACCTAAAAAGACTATTCTGACAAAACTGCTTCATCTTCAAAACTGCTTCAGATATAACCAATTTAATCTATAACCATGCAGAACGTTGCCAAGAACCCCATTCTGTAGGAACAACTCTGTATATATTCCACTTGCTACTGGAGCACACGAGAGCATTTTTAGCATTGGTACACATACATCCTCTACAATCAGAGTGCGAGGAGTGGGTTCGTCTCCAAGATGTTTTAAAGGTGATTCTTCATATCAGCATCCATCTTAAAATGATGTGCCTTGCCCCCAGGAAGCTGTTCGGATCTGCCATTTCCAGATACACTGTAGATTGTAGATTTTATTCCCAGGTTGTCTGGTTATCTAGTTAATCTTTGCCAATGTTTCTACATACATGTACATGTACTTATAGTAACTCATAAATATAAAATCTGCATGCTACATGTATTTAAGAAACAAAAACAACCATAGTTTCCTTTTTACCCATGGAAGTCTGTTGATCTTGCTAACCTGGTCCCTGTTTCATAATCCCATTTCAACCTCTTTGGTACTCTACGCATGTACAGTACTATAGTATAGCTTTGATCACTAAAACCTGCAAGAAGAACTTTAGATAGGTTGTTTTGGTATGGCGGGTGGAAGTGGAAATTTCTCATTTACTGTAGGTAGCTGGTGCAGAAGCAAATTTGCTTCATTTTTTATTTTGTAAATATTGAAAAGAAAAAAGAAATTTCTTCCCATCTTTTAACCTTACTGTCAAAACAATAAAATATCTGCCATATCTTGTAATAAAAACTTATGTTAGCTCACAAAAAGTGGGCAAAACTGTAATGTCCTTTACATCAATGTCCGTTATGGTACATTTATGATTAAAGCATGACCTTAAGGTTTAATTTATACCAAAACCAGGTGCATTCTATCCAAAAACTCACAGGATTTTTATAATTAACGGTAGGTCAAAATGCCTTATCCATTTCGTGTCATGTCATTTCGTTCACAATGAGTGCATTTTCTCAACAACCACTCAATAAAATTGTGCGAAACTTCATGTGTATGTCACTGATAACTAAATGTACCTGATAAACTTAACAAAAATTGTTCGGAGACTGCCAATTCCACTGTGAGATGATTTGAATTACAAAACTGTCTGAATGCCATGTTCGTTGCGCTAAAATGAATACTACTTGTACATGTAAGGTAATAATGGTGTCAGAGAGCGCTCATCCTAATAAACCATATGACGCTAATGTTATGCCTGTACCACTAACTGTACATGTATACAGATTGAGAAGTTAAACATGATATATGGTAATACATTACCTTGTGAGGGCTGTTTAGAATGAGTGTTGCCTGATGGTTTCTCTACTGGCTTCACGTGTTTGGCAGTGACCTCCTGTTCTTTAACAGGTGTATGCTGGTGGGAGGTAGGACGTGTTAGTGATGAGACAGCAATAACTTCCACTATATCTTCTGAAGTACAAGTAGTCAGTGTGGAAGAAACTGCACTACCTGCATGTTCATTGCTTGGTGTAACACTGTCACGAGGATTAACATCCTCTGAGAGGATTACTTGCTGATCACTGCCCGCCTGTTGACGGTTTGCATCACTCCTTGACACCTTCTCAATTTCAGAGGTGGAGTTTATGACCTCTGGCTCTCTATCAGATGGACATTTAGGTGATGGTGGCTGTGATGTTGAATCATCACTGTACATGCATGTATACACTACCCCATTTTCGCTGTTCTGACCATCATTTGTATCATCTTTGCAAGTCCCAAGCTCCCTAATGGGGCAAATAAAAGAGAAACTTGAAATCAAAACTCATTATTTAACCATCCATAAAGTACAAGCACAAAAACGTTGACTTCAGACCCCAGTCCCCTGGTACACATTGCACAGTAAGCAGTTCTAACCCTGTTTTTAAGATTAACATGTACACGTACACTGTAGCACAAGAACATAAAATTAAAATGGGACGTTGGCTATTTTCTGACCAATCTCGGTATTCATCTAATTAAAAGCAGATGTGGTTGAATGTACCTGTAAAGTCTGAAGGAAATGTAAAGTTTAGTCTTAAAAGCGACATCTTCTTTGAGTTTTTACAATCAATTTTGTTCTTTACGGTAATATAACTGTGAGAATTTGCTCCCTTGTGACCTTACCATTTTCTCGCGTGACTTGTCATTATTAGCTTTTGATTTGTACATGTTAAATCCTATCAAAAACTGATATGGCAGAACAACATTACTCATACTGGCGTGTTTTGCCAACTACAATTTCAGCTCAATTCACCTGTTCAGGAATTCATGTACATTCATGTACTGTACATGTACAGTATTCTTCCAAGTGCACCTGATGAACATGTTAATTTATTCAACATCCAGCCACATTTCTTTAATTCACATGTACA